GTTACCCCGGAATGAAAGAGAAATAGGTAGTGAGTAGGAAATGTGAAAGCCACCTCACACATAAGGCAGCATCCATGAGAGACCCTCAAAGAAATTCGTTAATGGAGAAAGAGTATAATTGTTTGAGGATCGTACATCAGCCCTCTAGCTTTCAAAGAAAGCAATACAGCCTGAGAAACACCTCATCAGAAAACCGCCACTGTCCTCACGGAGCTAAAGGTCCATCTCAGACGGCCTGGAAATCCAGCCCCAGAGCAAGCTGGGAGGCTCTGTGCTCTGCTGGGGGAGGGCTCTCGGGAAGAACCTGGAGGAAGTGAGGGGAGCAGGCTTGGCCGAGGAGTCAAGCAAGGATGGGGCCTCGGGGGAAGCGTAGGCTTGGCCGGACCCATGGGGCTGAGGCTGCTGGGCATAAATCCAGCCACAGAGTTGTCACCACCTGGGGCAGGAGGGCTGGCCTTTCATACTCCACTGCTAGTGGCCTTCCTTATCTATTCACCCGAGAGCAATTTTCTGGGCAAGGATGCAGCTGCAGCTAAATGCAAACACCCACCTCTCATCTGAATTCCAGGGATGAATGCACGTTCTGGCAAAGGGGACCTGGGAATAGCATGAGCAGCAGCTACTGGGAGGCCTAGGACACAGAGAGCGTGTACAGAGGCAGCCCAGGGACCCGGCTTGCCATAGGAATGGCTCCCACAGCCCGCATTTTGAGGAGCCCACAGTAGGAAGTTGATCCCCCTTGGGTGAAATCATTGCATGGGGTTGATCGTTACCAAATTGGGAACAAGAGGGCTAGGACTGTTCAAACCTTGTGGGTGAGAACCCTGAAGGCCCGCCTTTCACAAGTGTTACAACAGGAGACAGATTCCTCTGGGATTCCCATGGCAGCAAAGCGATGCAGAAGTATCCATTCAAATGGAAGTCAGAAGGAGACTTGCAGTGTGTGGGATTTTTTTTTTAAGCAGAAAAAATAACTGACAAAGGATGAGAATCTGGCCCAGGATAGGAGGCTCTTGTACTCTCACCCAGTGAAGATTCCACTAGTTAGTCCGTGACGGGTGCGCCACAGCACCTCGTGCCTTGACTGAGCTTCCTGACCAGCAAGGGAAAATGTGGCTTCTGCTTCGCTTCCACCTTCCAAACCTCATGCACCTTTGTGGATGATGTTGACACAGAACTGTGCCAGCAAGGAAATTCTGGGGCATGCAGTCCCAGCTTAGCTGAAGTGGTGCAGTGTAAACCCTCCACAGTCCACCCCTTGGCAACGTGGTGTGTGTGTGCGTGTGTGTCCCATACTCAACTTCCAGATGAAGGAAACATCATAATTATGCTTCTACCTAACATAACACAACTATCCTTGCAAAACTAAAAATACACTAACCCTCCCCACCAACAGACGGGGTCTCTTTATTCATCTTTGCATGGTCTTCAACATGCTAGCTGAATCATAGTCCTCATTTGACATCCTGTAACTGAAACACTGAGATGCAAGGTTAACTTCTAACACATATTAGATGAGGGGGGAATCGGAGAGGGAAAGAGACAAACAAAACAGCCTCCCCACACACACAGTGCCCCACACAATACAGCAAATAGGATAAAGCTTCCGACGAGCTCCCTGAGGGCCACACCTGCAGAGAAGATGGTCTGCAGATGTGGCCAGTCTGTGGCTCATTTTGTTTCTCCCAACACTTGTAAAATGAGATTAGTTCCAAGAAAATGAAACCAATGATTTAATTAATATAATTGCTCGAACTGAAAAGAAGCATAATTACCACAAAATAAATGGAACAGAGGATGAAAGCCATGTTAGAAATCTCTGACATCATCTGTGATTTTATTTGTGACCTCTTTTAAAAATAAACTGTATTAGACAAGCTTGTCATGACACTCTGGATTAAAATGTACTGTTTTGATGACTATTTAACTTGTAGCTGAATTTCATATATTATACTTATTCTTAAAATATTAAATATGTTAACTTAAAAATGAATTACAGTATGCCCATTTGGAAATTTAAATATTTCTTTGGTAATTGAAACTGACCTGTAGGAAAAATAAATTTGCTATAATTTGGCCTATTATAACCACTTCTGTTCTCTTTTTTGAGTATATTTTATGATTACGTTATTGCAGGTGTCCCAGTTTTTCTCCCCTTTCTGCCCCTCTGCCCTGCACTCCCACCCCCTCCAGCATGGCGCCACCTCCACCCCCTTAGCTCTTGTCCATGAGTCGTACATCTAAGTTCTTCCGCTTCTCCACTTCCTGTACTGGGCTTAACCTCCCCTGTCTATTTTGTGCCTACCATTTATGCTTCTTATTCCCTACACCTTCCCCTCATTCTCCCCCTCCTCCTCTCCACTGATAACCCTCCATGTGATCTCCATTTCTGTGATTCTGTTCCTGTTCTAGTTGTTTGCTTAGTTTTTTAAGATATTTATTTACTTATTTATTTTTGGAGAAGGGGATAGGGAGAAAGAGAGGGAGAGAAACATCAATGTGTGGTTCACGTGGCCCCCCAATGGGGACCTGGCCTGCAATCCAAGCTTGGGTTGGGAATCGAACCGGCGACCCTTTAATTCTCTACCTGCACTCAGTCCACTGAGTTACACCGGCCAGGGCTGTTTGCTTAGTTTTTGTTTTCGTTTTTGTTTTTTAGGTTCAGTTATTGATAGTTACGAGTTTGTTGTCATTTTACTGTTCATAGTTCTAGGTATTCTACTTCTTAAATAAGTCCCTTTAACATTTCATATCATAAGGGCTTGGTGATGATGAACTCCTTTAACTTGACCTTATCTGGGAAGTGCTTTATCTGCCCTTTCATTCTAAATGATAGCATGGCTGGATAAAGTCATCTTGGATGTAGGTGCCTTCATGACTTTGAATACTTATTTCCAGCCCCTTCTTGTCTGTAAGATTCCTTTTGAGAAATCAGCTGATAGTCTATGCGTACTCCTTTGTAGGTAACTGTCTTCTCTTGCTGCTTTTGAGAGTCTCTCCTTCTCTTTAATCTTGGGTAATGTAATGATGATCTGCCTGGATATGTGCTTCATTGGGTCCAACTTCTTTGGGACTCTGAGCTTCCTGAACTTTCTGGAAGTCTGTTTCCTTTGCCAGATTAGGGAAGTTCTCTTTCATTATGTTTTCTCAAATCTGTTTTTCATTTCTTGCTCTTCCTCTTCTTCTTCTGGCACATTCATGATTCAGATGTTGGAATGTTTAAAGTTGTCCTGAGGGTTCCTAAGCTTCTCCTCATTTAGGGGGATTCTTATTTCTTGATTCTGTTCTGGTTAAATTCTGTTCTGGTTTACTTCTTCCTTTTGTTCCAAACCATTGATTTGCGTCCAGGTTTCCTTCTTGCCATTGTTGGTTCCCTGCACGTTTTCCTTTATTTCACCTTGTGTAGCCTTCATTTCTTCCTCCATTTTGCGACTGAGCTCAGTCATTTCTGTGAGCATCCTGATTACAGTGTTTTGAACTCTGCATCTGATAGTCTGTCCATCTCCTTGTCACTTAGTTCTTTTTCTGGAGCTTTGATCTGTTCTTTCATTTGGGCCACAGTTCTTTGTCTTGGTACACTTTTCAAAGAAGTCATTTATATGACAATTTATCTAAAATTCCTGATTAAATGGCAAAAACTTGCCTTTTGGTCACAACTGCTATTTTACTTCACTATTTACAATAGGTTTTGGGGGGGAATAAAAACAATGATATAGGAATTTTAAGTACAAAGGCTATTTTATTTCAGATGTTGGGAGATGATAATTTACTTCAAGAAGCACTTGAACACAAGTCTCAGCTAGGTTTGTATTCAGGATACAAATATGTAGCAGATAATCTCAAGGGACTCTAATGTAGAAACATAGAAAAGCCAAGTTTACAAATAAGTATAATAAAAGGCTAAACACACCATCATTCTGCCTGCCATGTTCCTCCCCACCCATCCAGTTCACTTTCTTCCTGATGCCTTTTCTCTCTCTGTGCAAACTCGTGTGTTCTTCTGTCTATTTTAATTTTGTTGGGTTTTCTACAATCAAGGATCAGAGGATCCCTATCTGTTTATCCTGTTTCCTACGCACCTATCATATGCACTTAAAAACTTTTTATTGAGTGGACTTTATTGTAATGTTAACTAAATTTAAAATGGTATGAATAAGGTGATCTAGGGGACTTCAAAAGAGGAAGCTCGTCCATGGGGTTGGGCAGGTAAGTAAAATTGTGGGTAATCTTTATTTAAGGTAGATCTGGGAAAATGGGTAGCATTTTAAAATCTAAGGCACAGGGAATTGTGAGAAAGGCAAATGAGCCAGTAAAGTAAAGATTGCCTCATTCTGTCTTTGTCATACCCCCGTGAAGAAGACTCTGTGATTATTCCCATCTTAGAGAAGAGGACACCGAGTTTGGTGAGACGATGCCCCTGTCCCAGGGGGACAGCTAGTCAGAGCTGAAGCCCATACCCCCGGCCAGACAGATGAGGACAGAAGCCTTTTTCTCTTGACTATCACATGATGGACAGGAATCCCTTGGGCTCCAAGAACAGGAATTCGAGGCCCATTTGAGAACTAGACAGGGGTAGCAAGCCTGGAACTTAAGGAAGTCATGGCTCCTGGAGAAATGACATGAAGTTCTTCCGGTAATGCAGAAGAGCCCAGGACAAAATTGTGGTAGGAGTATACTGACCTCCAGTTTATTTATAAAGCACAAGAGACACCAAACCATTTGGAATATGACAGTTTTGAAGATAGACTGTGCCTTGCTCTGGGCATGCGGGGGTGGGCAGTGTGCCCAGTGGAACTGACTCGACAAAGGCCACCAACGGGCTGGCTTCTGGTGAAAACAACCTCCACTTTCTTCATAACCTATAGTCGCTGCGACGTCAGGTCGTCCAAGTTGCAGAAACAGCTCTTTTGTTTAACAAATAAATAAAGCTGTGAAAGAAAATGAATGCTACCCATGAAATACTGGCGTTGACCTGCACTTTCCGAATCCTTCTCCTTTAGGAAACGTGTTCGTGGTGAGCCTGGCGGCGGCGGACCTGGTGGGGGCCGTCTACCCGTACCCCTTGGTGCTGGCCTCTGTGTTTCACAACGGGTGGAGCCTGGGCTACCTGCACTGCCAGGTCAGCGGTTTCCTGATGGGCGTGAGCGTCATCGGCTCCATCTTCAGCATCACCGGCATTGCCATTAACCGCTACTGCTACATCTGCCACAGTCTCAGGTACGACAAGCTGTACAGCAACAAGAATTCCCTCTGCTGCGTGTGCCTGATATGGACGTTGACGCTGGCGGCCATCACGCCCAACCTGCGCGTGGGGACCCTGCGGTACGACCCGCGCATCTACTCCTGCACCTTCGCGCAGTCCGTCTGCTCCACGTACACCATCGCCGTGGTCGTTTTCCACTTCATCCTCCCCATGGTCATTGTCATCTTCTGCTACCTGAGAATCTGGATCCTGGTTCTTCAGGTCAGACGGAGGGTGAAGCCTGACCAGACGCCCAAGCTGAAACCCGAGGACTTCAGGAACTTTGTCACTATGTTTGTGGTGTTTGTGCTTTTTGCCATCTGCTGGGCTCCGCTGAACTTGATTGGTCTGGCAGTGGCCTCAGACCCTGCCAGCATGGGCCCCCGCATCCCAGAGTGGCTGTTTGTGGGCAGTTACTATATGGCGTATTTCAACAGCTGCCTCAACGCAATTGTTTATGGACTACTGAACCAGAATTTCAGGAAGGAATACGGGAGAATTTTAGTGTCCCTGTGCACAGGCAAGAAGTTCTTTGTGGGCAGCACTAATGAGGTAGCCAGGAGTGTCAAATGCAAACCCTCTCCATTAACGACCAACAATAACCTAATAAAGGTGAACCCCGTTTAAAGAGCAAAGCATCTCCTTGGCTGCTGTGGCTCGGTAGGTTAGAACGTCCTCCTGCAAACCAAAAGGTCGCAGGTTTGATACCCAGTCAGGGCACATGCCCAAGCTGCCGTTCGGTTTCTGGTTAGGGTGTGTATAAAGGGCAGTGGATGGGTGTTTCTCTCTCACATCTTTCTCACTTCCCCTCTCTCTAAAAATCACTGAGCCTGTCCTCTGGTGAGGATGAAAAAAGAAAAGAAAAGCATTTCCTGGCAAGTTATGCACCTTGTTCAAGGTCTTACTAATGTTTATGTTTGCTTCCCTCTTGCCAGACATCAACAAAAACAGTGTGGTTGAAAAGAAATTTGTGCTCTTAAGAGGTTGCCTCTACACTTTCCAAGCTAATGTGTTATCAGCCTTTTGAACAAGTCTCTCATTCTTATCAAGAGAAATACAAAGTTTTAAGCTATTGAAGAATATGGTTCAGGCAGAAAAGAGGGTCATTTTAAGTAAAAATGTTGAATGTATTTAAATGGAAAAAGTGTGAAAACTGTTTCTAATTGCAAATGAGTGTCACAAATATAATAATGGCTTTTTTCTTCTACTTTTTAAAGATTTTTAGTGGGACAACAAATGAAGTGTTTTGTTAATAATGAGTAAATGGAAAAAATGGGGTATAGTGGGATGAGTGACTCATTACACAGTGAAAAGCTGAAAATAAACAGCCACCGCTACAAAGTTTCTGGTCGGCAGCGTTGGCATTGGGTAGCTGTCGTCATGATTGTAAATGTTTGTTGCTCTGTGTTAAAAGTTGCACATTGAACTAGATAAAGAGCTGATTGTATGGCAGAGGCCCTTTTGGTTGTTAACAACCATAGTACTTTAAAGCAACGGCTATCTATAAAACTCTATGTGACCTTATTAGACATTTGGCTTATTATTTTGTCACTGACTATCCCTGTTCTTCACGTCACTGACTAGCTGTTTTGAATTGATCCTTGTTAACGTCTTCGGTCATCTCATCAGTTCGGTTAAAAACAACAGAGAATCAAAGAGCTGTGTATCTTTGGACATAGTGCCGGGTGTGTTTTAGATGGAAAAACTATTTTGGGCAAGTAATATCTAAACCAGAAAGTTTTTCTTTTATAGATATTTCAAAACAACATTCTTTAATCTTTATTTTAGTATTTGATTGCCCTCATAATACTGAAAGTCTAGGAGAATAAATAAGCAGGTAAACTATGGTTTTATAAACAATGGCCCTAGTTTACCCTAAATAGCTATTTGGGATGACTACAAGACTTACTACACAGGATGCTTTGCAGGAAATTAGAGCAATGTGTTCTTGTATTTTAAAGTTCTTCAACCAAACTATCACATACTAGAATGAGTTAGTGATTTACAGCTCTAAACAAAAAACAAAAAGTGGTCTGAATATATTTCTTAATATCTCTTTGACTAGATAATCAGAATCAGAAAGTTCTAAGATCCATTGTTGTAAAATGTTCCTTTGATAATTCTTTCTATCAAGCATCTGTGGGAAACACTAACTTATGGTTTGTGATGGGGTGTGTGTGTGTGTGTGTGTGTGTGTGTGTGTTACCCCTAAGGCTTTACCCATCCATTCACTTATGTGTAAATGTCAGAACCAACATTAAAGTGATAATTTTTAACATTCTGATTTTGGATAACTGAACCTTTATAAACATTAACCATGCTAACTGAATTCTTTCTGAAACATATGACACTTTTTCCTTGATGCTGGGAATGAATTATGATGCTGTTAACTGGACCCCATGACCACTCTTTATGCAACTCCATTTCTTAATTTATACAAAAAAGAAAATTACTGAATAGAAAGTGTGCCCTTTAAAAAATGTCTGCCAAGTGAAGTACAGCTATGTAAATTTAAAGACCTGATATGTTTTCTTCACTATTATCAGAAAATAAGCTAGTTAAAATATTAACAAGGAAAAAGCAACTGATAAAGATCAAAGTCAAAGACACGGATTTTCTCTCATGAAGTCTTGCAGTAGAAGATTTGTAAGCATTCAGGATTTTATCACTGGTTTCCTCACTATAATATCAATAAGGAGAAAATCCTTAGCTAATGCTGTGTTTCATCTTGCAAAACTCAAATATTTAATTAGTTGCACCTGATTTTCCAGGGTAACAATTATTTGCAGACTATTTGAAAAATTAACTCCTTCAAGACTACTAGATTACTATTACCAAATGACTGTTGTATAGTACAAATTGGTAAGCGAGTCGCATCCCCGGAAAAATACCTCACTATTCAAGAAAGCAAACTCTTATTAAACACGTTGTGTTAACCAGCTATCAACCTCTGTTAAGACAAACTCCTTTAAAATATCGAAATTACTCACTTACCAATGTAATCAATTTTGCCAGCTTTCTCTGTGTCTATCGAAATACTAGTGTTGATGTGAGGGTTGGCGATGAAGAGGAATACCATTTTGATCGCAATGTTGACAAACGTTTGTAGAGTTATGTCTGTATATGTGTTTGTAAATGTTTGTATATTCATAATACAAATTATGAGTATTTGTACTTGTCTGTAGCTCGTATTTCTGGGCCCAGTAAGGAGGCTTTGTGGGGTTGAAAGCTATGTAATAAAAGGGGAAAATGCCATTTTTCAAAAGCACTCAGTGAGGGACCCTGCTAGGAAGTCTACACAAGACCCTTTGAACTGGAATAGAGATAGTAAAACATCTTTTGTTAGTATTGTTAGTATTGTATAATTGTTAGTATTAATAGTTAGTATTGTATAATTTATCACCTACGCTAGTATTCACCTGGAGTGGACAGACCAAAGAATTTGACCTTATTAATTTACATAAATTATTTGACAATTGTCATTGGAGGGTTTGCCTCAATTGCATTCTCCTATGGAAAATTGAAATCATGTAGATTTCTTTTTTGCCTTCAGTGAATGTCACTTTTATGCACCTGTTCCTATACCCATTGCAACCAATTAGTTTGGGACACATCGCCTGTACTTTGCTATGAGAGCTTCATAATCACACAAAATATGATTACTTTTGTTTAAAACAAAATAATGAATAGACACTATAGATTGGGGAGGGGAGGGGAATGGAATAATTCCAGTTTCTCTATTGCATGTTTCACTAGCAAATATTTGCATGGAATTCATTTACATACATAAACATGGTGGTTTTTCTGGCAAAGCAGCAGAACAATTTGGTTTTAAGTATCCTGGGAAGAAATATGACAGAGTAACCAATCTGGGGTGTTAAATCCATAACTGCTCATCAAGTAAACAGGTTAAATCGGACTGTAATGTAATGAGTAGCAACACCACCTTATGGTCTGTATCTGACACCTCCCCAAATATTTCACTGAGAATAAGCAACACATTTCACATATAACAGATACATTGCAAATCAGCTCAGATCACTAAATTATGATATTTGAGAATTACATGATCATAGCCTTCTTTAAGCAGGCTTTTCTTTTTAAAAAATATTTGTTACGTTTTTTTGCACCCTTTTACTTTTCTCTACTTTTATGCTTGAAAATAAGGAATCTCCATTTAAAAAATATTTTGTGTACATGTAACATGACAATAACAGACAGGGTGAAAGTTCAGTAACAAATGAGTATCAACAGATCATCCGGTGATCGTAATAATTTAGATGTAAGCTGTGTACCACAGTCCTGAAATGTTGGGACATAAATGAATTGAATTCACCTTATGTTTGTCTGTCACCAAAAGGGTAATGGAGTCAAGTGCAAAATCGTTTTGTTTTAAACTAGCAAAAGGAAATGTACATTCAACTGTGGGACATTAATCATAAAGGAATGTGTAATGATGTTAGAATCATAAGCCTTGACTATATCTTGCAATGCTTAGCATCTCTAGAACAGAAATATTTAAACTAACAAAAGCAATTATTTACAATTCATTCTAACCGTTAAAGGGTTTAACAAAGAGGAAAGAATTGTATAGGGATCTCTGTGTACGTGTGCGTACTTCGTGTTTTAGCCACTTGGCTGTTTCTGCTTCATCTTTAATGTTGATAATCTTGGGGAACAGGAAAAGCCTCCACAGCTTTGAAGCATAAAAAGAGTATTGAGATGTCGTGCTGTGTTATTAGTAATAATGAAATAATGCTTGTCCCTAAGAAACATTACCTTTATCATGAGGACACACTTCTGTGATTTGATTCCAGGATGTCTGTGATTAACATGCCCATTTCAAAACCGATTGCTTATTGTTGCTTGCAGGCTTCAATTACTGATCCTGCATTTCCTTGTGTTAACCGGGCATCCTGGTTTCTGGGAGAACTGTTACTTAGCAGTCAGTGGTGCAAGCAAATAAAGATTAGAGAAAATAAATTTGTTTGCCATAAAAATAAATGTTACCTACTAGTTCCATGACGTGGTTAACAAATCACTAAGAACTATTGAAAATTTGTGCCTAGAAAGTTATTATACCTTCATTGACTCTGTGACCACTGAGCTAGAGCATAAATGTTTAGGCAATTTGAAATAGTTAAATATAAGGTAACCTGAGTTCTGACATTGTCTTATATTTATACCTACTTTCTTCAGTTTGAATATAAATTTAAATAAAGACAGAAGAAGACTTTTTTCAAAGACAGCTTATTTTTTATGTTTTTGAAAATACAGCCCATGATGTGATATCCTTGCACGTTTTCTACTTTTGTTTATTAATGTCTGTCTACATTGTTACTGCCAAGGATCAACTTCAATGACATCTTTTCTTCTATATGCTTGTTCTAATATATGATGTATTATATATGCAGGTATACATCTATATGTAAAAATCAGTACTATTTCTTGTAATTATTTTCAAGGTAGTCAGTTTGTTTTTTTCTGTTTTTTGTTAGGAATTGAATCAAATAAAAGTTGGTTAAAGATGAAAAGTAGTTTGATGATTAGCAAACATATGTATGTGTTAATGGACAATAGACCTACCTTTCTTTTCTTGACATTTTTAGCAAAATTTAAACTATCTAGTTACTCATGTATTCATATATCATTCATTTATATTCACTTTTCCATCATGGAAGGGAACTGAGTTTAATTGTACATTATTTTATCCAGCTTCATCTAGGCAGCCAACAAACTGAATTCTATTCCAAACACAAATTTGTTGCACTATTTAACAAATGTGTTTCTGTAAAAAAATAAAAATGGGGAAAAGCAAAAACATATCTTAGTGTAAATGTTTGCAATGGATTTTTTAATTTCTTCTTGCAACCTCTTGAGGTGAGGGTGGGAGAAAGACAGCTGATATTCTTGACCTTTGCATGATCATTTCATAGAATCACTGACGGGAACTTAGAGGCCAAGTTCAAGTCAGCCCCCTCATTTTACAGACAATGAAAATGTAATTCACTAAATAATGTCTCACCAATGATCTACCAAGAGTTAGTGGGAGAGACCTGAGACTGAGTTCACTAAAAATTTAGGAAACATCGAGCACCTGTTATTTTTTAGAAAGTACACCAGGTAGTAGGGCTGAAGTGTTGAGTCCAGGGTTGGCTCTCCAAAGGGCCGATGCGGGAAGGGTTCCCCAACACACTTAAAATTCAGTGCAGTTGCTAACATCGCAAAAAAAGACGTCTGCACACATCTCCAAATAGACGGCCTTTCCCAAAACTCAAAATCAAATCTCATTTAACTAGAACTTATCAGAATTACAGGGAACAGGTGCACATATTAACATCACAAAAGGCCATCAGCAAAATCCCAACTATACCCAAATCTATAGGACAGCAAAAGGCTTTCTCTAACAAATATTTGAGAGAAAAGAAAACATAACAGGAAATTAAAGATTAAAAGAGACTTAAGAGATATGTCAATCACTTGAAATCAATAGATTTGTTGGAGACATTTTAAAAATTGTATAATACAAAGTGAAAATGTAAGCACTACTAAACATTGACAATATTGAGGTATTATTTTTTTAAAGTGTGATCATGGTGTTTTGATTCAAACAAAAAGCACTGCCTTTTAGAGATGCATGATGAGGATTTACACAAAAAGTAATATGATGTCTGAGATTTGCTTTAGAATAATCAGAGTGAGAGGTGAGGAAGTGGGTGGGCTTGCAGAAGACTCTCAATTCACGTTATTTATTTGGTAATGGGGTAATTAGTACACAGAAGTATATTACCTATTCCTTGGTTGATGACTTGTTCATTGTGTTTGGAAACCCTGCTGTTACCTGAGTAGTTAAAAGTAACCCTATGAAGTAAATACTGTTTTATCCTCATTTTACACACAAGTCCCTTGAGACCAGAGAGTATAAGTAACTTGCTCAGGGTCACACAGCTAGTAAGTGTTGGGGAAGGGACTGAGACTAAGCAATTACTCATGCATCCCTGCCTCATTCTACCCTTCTTCCGAGGAAGGAGAGCCCAGAACTCCTCCTGAAGTCCACATACGCCCAGGACGGCATCCTTGCATGCCTGGCCAGTGGGCCCTGGGCGGCAAGGTAGCTTCTGAGGACACTGAGCTCTTCTGGACAATTGGTCAGCTATGTAGTGCCGTAAGTAGTAAATATAATAGGAAGTCAATGAAGGATGCATTATTGGGGTGGGTCAGGGCTTCAATCTGAATAAGATTATTTTATAAGCACCATGTCCAAGTAATTGGTTTTAAATCTAAGGTGTTAACTAAGCAACTGATGGAATGAATTTGTAGTTATTCTGCTATAGTGGGTTCAATCAATGATCATTTTTCTGATCCACTGAGCCCTTTCTTTGCCCCATCAACCCACTTCATTTCTTTGACCATGAATGAGACTCTGTCCTGCCCTCAGAATCTTCTGATCTGCCAGGGGCAGGAGGGTTTGAAACAAACTACAATTCCTAGAGGTTTTAAGTAAAGGTTGTGAAATACTGAAGAATGAATAAATGGAAAAACGGGGGCAAAGGGCAGTGGGAAAAATCTACTATGAAAATTGTCTTAGCCCTTTGCCTGCTTAACTGGCCCTCCCTCTATCCAAACCCTACTATATAAATAATGACATTAAGATTTTGCTTAAAGTGTCCTGGCCTCAGTTACCAATAGAAAAAAGCAGCAGGTAAGAAGAAAACAAAAATTTAAAAAGTTAAAGCTTTACCTTAAAGAATACTTCCTCTCGATCTTGGCATCCCATTTTAAGAGAGCAGCATGACTGTTTTTTGTTCGTTTCTTTAAATAATTTTTTGGGACATGATAGTGTCAAATAAGTCCACAAAGTAGCCCTGGTTGGTGTGGCTCAGTGGATCTCAACTGAGTGCCGGCCTGCAAACCAAAGGGTCGCTGGTTTAATTCCCAGTCAGGGCACATGCTTAGGTTGCAGGCCATGTCCCCTATAGGGGGCGCACAAGAGGCAACTACTCACTGATGTTTCTCTCCCTCTCTTTCTTCCTCCCTTTCCCTCTCTCTCTAAAAAATACATAAATTTAAAAAATAAATCCACAAAGTAATAACTGGTGAGTCTTATTTCCCTACCTTATATCCTGCACATCCACTATTCCCTCTTTAATTCCTACTTCCTCCAGATGAAGCTCTGGCAGCTGTCTGCCCATCATTCTGTGATTTCTAACCTGGAGAGTGAGTCATACTTAGAAGAGGGCAACATTCACATAGCAGAAGAGGTTACTACCAGAGAGGACAATGGTTTAAAGGAGTAATTTGGAGCAGAGACTCAACCATTCCTTCAAAAAACATCGACGCCCAT